CTTGCGGCCCAGCCTCGCTCCTCCCCAGACGCCGCCCGCTGGGATCCCCATCGCTCCTGCACCTGCACCTGCTCGCCCCGTCCGCCAGCACCCACCGGTCCCTCCCCGCTGCGCCCAGCTCGGATGCTGTGACCGGGGCGTGAGACGGCTCCCGGGCAGGTGGGATGCGCTCCCACCTGCGGCCGCCTCCCACGCCAGCCACCTTGGCATATCTAGCCAGGAGGCGCCACGCTCTGCCTCATTTGCCAAGCCGCAGCTGAAGTGGCCACGCTCCGGAGTTTGATGGCTTCTTTGAGGAGAGTCAAAGTCCTGCTGGTGTTAAACTTGATTGCGGTGGCTGGCTTTGTCCTCTTTCTGGCTAAGTGTAGACCCATCACTGTCAAGAGTGGGGATTCCTTCCATGAAATCCATCCCAGGGCAGAAGTGGCCAACTTGACCGCCCATGGCAGCAGTCCTATTCAGGATGCAGTCCTGAAAAGGCTCTCCCTTCTAGAAGATATAGTCTACAGGCAGCTAAATGGTAGGAATAGCTGTCATTCTATTAATACCTTGTGGGCACAGACATCCTTGGCACTAGCTATATTTAAAATAGAGACTCAAGATCCTTGAAGTTAGCAAAAGTAGAAAGCCACTTTTCGGTGTCCTCATGCAAGCTGTGTCTTTAGCAGATACATCGGGGCAAATGAATCAGTTTAGTCACTAATTTCTGAGCTATGTTTGTGTCTTAAAAGATTGCATGTACTTTGCACTGAAAGGGAAGAATGTGTAATAACATAATGCTGGCTCTCTGCTTTGTTGTTCTCGTCAGGAAATTATACCATCATGACTTTTTCCTCAGGAGATCAGAAACCAGTTCAGCAGCCAACTATAAGGTTGAAGAAGCATGTTGTATATTGAATGAGGAAATGTTGTTGGCTTTTTACCACCATACATTTGTTATTTGCAACCTTTTAAAAAAATCTATCCAGGAGGTAGTGTGGGGATGCAAAAGATTAAAGCATTTTGCTTCATCCAAGTTCAGACACCAGACAGTAAATGCACTTTTCTGTAATAAGTTAAGCAAACAATTCAACATTTCCTATGGCTCAGCCTTGACAGTTGCTAATTAAAACCTCAAGTAATGCTTCTCTTTATAGCACAGTGCAGGGATTTCCATTAAAATCTCACCAGGTTCAATAGTTTGGAGATGTAGACAGGGAGTTTAAAGATGCCATGTGGAATAGAGAAACATGTAGTAGAAATGTAAGAAATCTAGGTGAGATATCTAATTAAAACACAGACAGTGAAGAGCTATTTTTTAAGTGTTCCCCATAGATTCACTAGTGGCAATGTGATCTCAATGAAGAGACTCAAAAGTCGGTGGTTTAAAGGCTACAGATTTAGTATTGCAAAGTTAATGTAGGTTGATATTTTTCTGTAACGTTGGTATGTCCTCCCCTCCTGTGATTCTTAAATACTAAACTAAGGCATGATTCTGTACCATGCACATTGTGTATTTCTTTTGTGTACTGACTCAGTGCTGTTACTGTTGGCAGTACTGTAACAACGGATGCTAGGCATGTACTGGAATGCAGCATACATAAGCTGGTGTTTTGTGTTTGGGAATAATCCCAAGTGTGGTCAATCTCTGGATTTTGGGGTTGTATAAATTGAGATGCACTAAGACAGTCAAGAGTGGATCATTGTACATTACTACTCCGTCCACATGCGTGAGAAGAATTTCCTGCTTGTGAAGGGGGTTGACACCTCATCTAAACCCAGTGTTATCTGACAGAAGCAGTTGAGACAATGTGGTGTGGCAATGTGAGGAGCGAAGTAAAAAGATAACGAGATTCTACAGTGTTTGGTGTAACAAACCTGTGAAAAGCATTGCTGCAAGATAACAGGACAAACAACTGAATGGTTTTCAGAAGGGATTGGGCACGTCTGTAAATAAGTCTGCAGTTGTATTTATTTTTTTTAAATCAGTGGGATATCAATCCTCAATCTTCAGAGCATAACAAACAGCAGGCGAGTTCCTCCCATCACTTTCGTTATTATTTATTATGTGCAGTGGGGTGGCACCTCGCAGTCCTAGTGGGAGTTATCCTAAGCACTGTGCCTGCACCTGCACAGTAGTACATAGTCAAGTGCAGACATTAGCCACTGTGGGAAAGAAGATGCCCAGCTAGATGCACCAATGCTCAGTTCCATTGTGTAACAGAAGGGAATTGAAAAGGAACACTAGGATATAGGGTATCTAAATGATAGTGCTATACAAATATTTGCGAAAATGAAATCTGATTACTCTGGTGGAATATGTAACACTACCTGCAGTACTTGACAAGGGAGCTCAAAGCAAGACCTTAGCTGGCGTTTGTCTCCTGGTATTCCCAGAATGAGAGAGAGGGAGTTCATCAGAAATTTTCCCTCTTTTCCTAAGACTATATCTAGATGGCAGGCTTCTTTCGGAAGAACCTTTTTTCGGAAGAGATTTTCTGAAAAAACGTCTTCCAGAAGAGAGCATCCACACACAAAAGCGCATCGAAAAAGCCATCTGCTTTTTCGAAAGATAGCATCCACACTGAATGGACGCTCTCTCGCATTTAAGCTGTGATTACTATGGACTCGTGTAGACATTGAGAGCTGGGGAGTTTCTCAACAACCCTGGAGGGTGCAAACTAGACCTTTCGGTGCCTATTGATGCCTCCAATGCTCCATTGAGTACAAGAGGTGTTTTCTTCCTCGGACTGAATGGCCATCTCTTAGTACCCTCCCAGCAGGTGTGCGGTTGGAACGTAGAGTAAAGATAGCCTGGTGCAGCAAAATGCTGCCATGCACTTAAACTCTGTGAAAGGTGATGGGATCAATCACTATGCTTGTCCAAACCACAAATGATTTCCTGAGGTGGGCTATAATTCAAGTGTATGAAGGTAGCTACTTATCTATATGGCCATTGCAAGGGCTCTTTGTAGCAATATTGATGAGTGTGGCTCAGGTTTAGCTGAGGTGTGAGGAGTGTTGATCAAATGTATATTTCAGGGTTCAAGTACAGTTTATTTCGGTTAATTTTGCTTATGCACCCTGTCCACTGATTACTGCATGTAAACGCTGTGCTTCTGCAAGGTATGCAATTAGACACAGGTCAGTGACAGACAAACAAAACAGGCTGATACACCAATGCTCCCTGGAGCCCATCCTCTGTCATTGCAGGAGGTAGTCAGAGGTGCCCAAATGATCCTGGCCACTAATGCCCCAGAGGAAGTTGGAACCACTCCCATGTGGAGAATTTCCTGTGTCTATATTTGGAGTTAAAATTAATCCCATTCATGAGAAAGAGTTACCGAACCTGAAACTCTACAGCAGAACCTCGGAGTTATGAACACCTCGGGGATGGAGGCTATTCGTAACTCTGAACAAAAAGTTCTGGCTCTTTTAAAAGCTTGCAATTGAACATTGACTTTATACAGCTTTGAACGCTACTATGAAGAAGAAATACACTGGTTTAACTGTCCTACTGTAAGTGGAAAAGCACAAACAATTGACTTACCTTGTCAATTCTTTAAAATATTTATATTGTTTTAGGAGTTTACATTTACATTTAGATCATTAGGTCTAGAGAACATGACCTATGAAGGAAGACTGAAAGAATTGGGTTTGCTTAGTTTAGAAAAAAGAAGATTGACATGGGACATGATAGCCGTTTTCAGGTATCTAAAACAGTATCATAAGGAGGACGGAGAAAACTTGTTCATCTTGGCCTCTGAGGATAGAACAAGAAGCAATGGGCTTACACTGCAGCAAGGGAGGCTTAGGTTGGACATTAGGAAAAAGTTCCCAACTGTCAGGGTAGTCAAACACTGGAATAAATTGCCCAGGGAGGTTGTGGAATCCCCATCTCTGGAGATTTTTAAGAGTAGGTTAGATAAATGTCTATCAGGGATGGTCTAGACAGTATTTGATCCTGCCATGAGGGCAGGGGACTGGACTTGATGACCTCTCGAGGTCCCTTCCAGTCCTAGGATTCTATGATTCTATGATTTAACATGGTACTTTGCAGAGGGGTGGTTTCTATCTGATTGGGTGCGTCTAGACTTGCCAGCTCTCTACACTGGCCGCTAGAATTTGCGCAAGAGCACTGACGTTCTAATGTAAGAATTCAGTGCTTCTTGCGCAAATACTTTGACGCTCCTGCTCAGAGATAAGCCCTCTTGCGCAAGAGTACTTGCGCAAGAGGGCCAGTGTAGACAGGCACCTTAATTTTTTGTGCAAGAAAACCCGATGGCTAAAATGGCCATCGGAGCTTTCTTGCGCAAAAGCGCGTCTATACTGGGCACGGATCTAGACTTTTCCATTAAAAGTATTTCCACAAAATCATGCCAGTCTAGACTCAGCCATTGTGTACTTCCGGTTCCAAATGAGACAAGAGGTTGACTGGTCATTTCCTAGCTCTAGTGTTCATAATTCTGAGATTGTTCTGTTGTACTGTGCCTAGAGACCGTGCAAGTTTCTGAAAATGTACACTTTACTTGTGCTTTTTAAAAATTGTATTCTTTAAAAATGGCATTGTGGTGACAACTGACTGACTCATAGGCCCTAATCGGTGCATTTAGTATAGCTCCCTACAAAATCCATCAGCCACTGAAATTCTTCTTTCATGCTACCCATTCACATTTTAACTTATAATTTGCCTGAGGCCTTGATGTTATGTTTTATGCCAAACTTCAACTACCAGAGAATGTAGCATCCTCTTACTTTGAGGGAATCCTGTGTTCCTCCTATAGTTTTGCTTAGTTGGAGAAAACAGCTGGTGTTTGGGCAAACCTGGTCCAGGATTAGGGCTTCTACATGCTAAGAAAATACAGATAATAATCATAAGTTAAGTCTAAACTGTTGTGTGCTGTTCTAATTTGCTGTGTTGCACTCCGAGTTGGCTGCATTTCAGTGGTAGATGAAGTGATTCCTAAATAAGTGCACTATTTATAAAGCTCTGTTGTATAAACAGACGCTTGTTATTATTTGGATGTAGCAATTCCTGTGTTTCCGATTGTTTCAAGTATAAAGCAGGCCTGCCAAATTATCTATCCACAATCTCTCCTTTGAAACTCTTTTGTGAATGTTGGCCTTAAAAACAGAATCAATGGAATTTTTGTGCGGATAGTCTGATAACTGCACTGTGCTACAGAATTAATATTTGATTAGTAATGACATTTTGTAACCAACACCACACCTCCCCTGCCCACAAAGGATATTTCTGGGAAGGGCCATCCCAGATCTGCAAGCTTAGTCTAGTGGATACGGACTAAGTAGAAAGCATTCAGTCCTTACTTCAGCCATAGACTTTCCTGTGTGACCTTGGGAGTCTCCGACATGAACCAGAACTGGTGTTTTTAATGACTCTGCAGACTAGGAGAAACAGGAGAGACCGTGTAGGTTTCTGAAAAGGGACACTGGCAGCTTAAAATTGGTGAGCTAGTTAGAACCTGCTTGCCCTTGCTTTGCAGATGTTACACATGGATGAGGCTGGATGGAAGTGGGGTT